CTGGGGGGGGGGGGCCTCTGGGGGAAGCCAGATCTGAGGCCCACACTTGCATGTTTCCAGGTGAGATCCAGGGGGATAACCATAGAGGAGTGGAAAGACTCAGAGACCTACAGCCCCGACACTGCATACGGTGAGACCCCAGCTCGGACCCCAGCCTCCAGGTGACCCCCAGGTCCCAGCTACAGCATCCTGGCCAGGCGGCCTATCCCCTTGTCTTCCTCTCCCACCTGGAGAGTGGAGGAATAAATGGGACCCTAAAGAGTGCGGTGCACCTGGCTGGCGTGGAGGAATGTGAGTGCACAGATCAGCTGTCCCACAGGTGTGGACTTCATGGTGCCCGTGATGGGCTACGTCTGCCGCATCTGCCATAAGTTCTACCACAGCAACGCAGGGGCCAAGCTCTCCCACTGCAAGTCCTTGGGCCACTTCGAGAACCTGCAGGTGAGCTGGGCCTCCTGCCCCACCCCACCCTGCCCAGGACTCAGGCTCCATCCCAACTGATGGGGGTGATGGACAGTGGCTACCTCCCTCCTGTGCTTGACCGCAGCCCCCAGGCACCTCCCCCACCCAAACAGGGAGGCCCCGCTCACAGAGGGGACAAGAGTCAGGGTGGGGCTGGGCTCTCTCTGCTTTTGCTGGGGCCGGGGTGGGGGGGAGCTGAGGGCCAGGATGTCAGCTCCAGAGCTCTGGCCCAGGGAGGCTGAGCTAGCACACAGGGTCACACAGCATGTCCAGTGCTGTCTTGGCTGGGCTGGGGAAGTGGCTGCTGGCCAGGAGGGCACCAGGTGCCAGAGGGAGCCCTGCCTCACCTGCACCCTCCGTTTCCAGAAATACAAGAAGACCAAGAACCCCAGCCCTGCCACCAGGCCCATGAGCCGCCGGTGCGCCATCACTGCCCGGAACGCCCTGACTGCTCTGTTCACCTCCAGCGGCCGCTCACACACCCAGGACACAGCCAAACCCCCCAGCAAGGTGACCGCCCCACCCCCCCCACCATTCCGGCGCTCAACCCGCCTCAAAACCTGACAGGAGGAGCTGCCGCGCTCACCTGGTCTGTGTCGAGACCGAGGTGTTTTAGGAGTCTGCATGGAATCATTGACATGGTTGGTGTTTTTACTCAAAATTCAATAAAAGAAGGTAGTTTGGCTGTCTAGTCCCCACCAGCACTTCTGTCCAGGTGGATGGGGCAGGGGAGCACCCAGCCAGCTCTCAGCCAGTGCCAGCCTCTCTAGGCATAGTGTGGGGGCAAACTGGACAGCCAAACACAGGCCCCCCCAACCAGGAACCCTGGGATCACAAGGCGCTTCACCTCTCTGTTTCCCTCTTGATAATAATGTATCAGGACTAGGAAAGTACCTTCACGTAAGATCTCATTTAATCTTCAGTGACTCTAGGAGGGAGGTCTTGTTACTCCCAAATTACAGATGAAGAAACTGAGGCCTAGTAAGGTCAAGTGATTTGCTGAAGGTCATACATCTGGTTAAGTGGCCAGGGTTTGACCCAGGGCCTGAGCCCTGGATCCCTGTGCTAGCCTTTCTCTCCAGCTGGACCCTGTGGAAGCTGAAGTGCAGGAAGGGGGGCCCTTGCTGCTCCTCTGGTTCTGAGTTCAAGGTGCACTAATGGGGACCCCGCCCTTCTTGTCAGGTGACCCTGTGGTGAATCATCAGTGGGTGGAGCCCAGGCTGAGCTGGATCTTGAGTTTTATTTTCCCACGTGGAAAGACCCTCACAGATAGACAACCAGAAAAATCCCATCATTCGCCAGCTGGGGAGACTGAGGCCAAGAGCAGGAGAGTGGTGCCCAAGGTTCCTGTCTTAGCGAAAGGCCCTGGTACCCAGAGAAGCTACTCGCATCACACAGGGTCACAGAGCATGCCCGATGGCTGGGGAAGTGGCTGCTGGCCAGGAGCCGAGGGAGTCCCGACCTCACTTGTATACTCTCTGTGTCCAGAAATAAAGAAGGCAAGACCCCCAATCCCCTCTCGGCCCATAAGCAACACCCAGAAACGCCCGCCCTAACTGCTCAGTTCACCTGCTGGCCACTGGGGTTCTCATCCCAGGACACATACAAAGGCTCAGTGATGTTGGAGACCCGTTTAATGGAGACATTCAAGGACTGGGCAGAGTGGAGAGTGCCCAGGAACTGGGCGGGCAGGCAGGGTGGGTGGGTTGCAGGCCCACACCTGACCCCAGGGGGGGAGGCTAGGTAGTGGGGGTTGGCCCAGACACGCCGAGGGGAGTACCTGAAGAACGGCTCAGGCAGGCAGAGCCACGAGGGGACCTGTAGGCCAGCCCTTGAGAAGGTATCTAAGCCAGGTGGTGAGTGCCCAGGCTAGGGACTGGCCCAGGGAAGCAGGGTTGGGGCCTGGTTGGGGGCTTCTGGAGCCTAGGGGCTGGCATCGCTGGGGGCCTCCCCCAGCTGCTGCTGGAACTCAAGGCGTGTCTGCCGGTTGGACTCGAGCAGCTCCTGGAGGCGGGCGTGGAGGTGGTCATTCTTTTCTTCTAGGTGGTCCAGACAGGAGTTGATCTGGTCCAACATGGAGTTGATGGCAGCATATTCTGGAAGGAAGGGGAGAGAGAGCCAAGATCTCGTGTCTCCCCAGGGCTCACAGACACCCTTCACCCCAACCATTGCCCCCCAGCCTGACTCCACAAGAGCTCTGGCAAGTCCCTACTCTTCCCTGAGCCTCAGCATCACTGTCTGGAAAATGGGTGGACATCAAAAGAGGAAAGGCGCTGAAGAAATAATACCTTAGCACACCACCCTATTTTCTAGGGTTAGCGTGGTTAGGGGGAGACCAGCTAGTGTCCTACCTGGGAAATCCTGCCAGGTGCCAATCTCCTTTCCACTTCCTTCACCTGCATAGAGGCCAGAGCCCACACTTCTGAGTCGGGCAATCCAGGCCTCTGTCCCCAGGCAAGCCCACCCTTCCAGCTCTTCCATGGCCTTTGCTCTCAGGATAAAGCACCCTGAAGACTCCAAGACCCTATTCTTCCCTTTCCAGCCCCGCCTCCCATGCCTTTTCCTTTCCTTTCTCACATCTGCCTTTGCCCACCTCAGGCCCCTTGAACGTGCTGTTGGCTCTGCCTGGAATGCTCCGAGTCTTCCTCCCTCCCTCCTCTCTTCTCCTGGATGAGTCACACTCATTCTCCAAGTCTCAGCATGGATGTCACCACAGGGAGCCCTCCCAACGCCCCACCCAGATCAGGCCTCTCTGCCTGATCCCCTTCCTCACACCTCCGTGGCACTCCCTCCGGAATGACTGATGTGATTTGTGTGCTGGTCTGTCTCCCCTGCCAGACTATAGAGCTACATGAGACGTGGAATGGTCTTGTGTTCACTGCTGTCTCCCTGAGGCCCTCACTGTCACATGATAAGCATTTGTTGAATGAATGAATAGGTGAATGAATGAAGCCTCTAACTTCCCAGCCTTTCTACCTTTGCTCAACTGTCCCTGCAACCCAGAATGCCTCAACAACAGCCATTTAAAGACTAGCTCCAAACGCCTCCTCCGAGAAGCCTTCCCTGGTCTCCACCAGAAACCATCACTCCCTCCTCCACAGCCACTCCTGACCTGCCTCTCAGCAACACGGTGTCCCTTAGGACCCAAGGTCTGGGCCTGTGCCCACTGCGGGAGCCAGTTCTGAGCCAGCCCATGACTCAGATACACTCTGCTGCTGGCTGGGGACAAAGGGGAAGTGGCTGGCAGTGTTTGGAGAAGGCCTGGGCTGGAGGAACTGAATGGGAAACTGATGCAAACGTGTCTGCGTTCTGGAGGAAGAGCACCCATCCACCCAGAGTTGGCACACCTCACAGAGGCCAGAGGCCTGGAAAGTCTCTGCTGGGCTTTACTGTCCAACCACCTTGTGGTACAGGTGAGGGAGGCCCAGGAAGGAAGGGACTTGCCCAGGGTCCTCCAGCTAGTTGGTGGCAGAGCCAAGAATCAGACTTGGGAAGTGAGGCACTTGAGCTTCAGCCCCAGCTCTGCTCCACCCCAGGAAGTCACTGCACCTCTCTGGAAAAGGGGAGATAAAGAACTGGGTGGCTGTGAGGATCCGGATACATCAAGAACGCAGGGGTCTGGCTGCAGCAAGTACCTGATACATGGTCATTACCGTCAAGGTTTCACATTCTGTGTCCTGAGACACAGGAGAAGGACCGGGGAGGTGGTGTCTCCATGCCACTGGGGCCCGGCTTTATCTGTGTCAAGGGCACCTCTCAGTTCCAGGCCTTTGCCTCCTTCCTCCCCACTGTGCCAAGTCCAGTGCATTTGCCAACGGCCACTCAATGTGACTCCTGGGGGCCCGTCCTGATGCTGCTTTACGCACCCATCTGGCCACTGTTCCGGGCAAAGCGGCCGGCCCACCGCCTTCCCTGCTGGAGGGCTCCTACCTCTGCTAACCGCAGACCGCAGCTGACCAAAGCGGCCGGTCTAAAACCACCGTGCTGGTTGGTGCCGGCTCTGGATCTTCCCAACCCCCTGAATTGTACAATTGAAACGGGCGAGTTGTACAGCGCGTGAGCCACAGCTCAATAAAGCTGCTGCCAGAACAAGACGCGGGCTCCACAGCTCGCTGGCTAAGTCCTGGGCGCCCAGTCCACGCCCAGCCTCGACGGCGCTGAGCGCGCACGCAGCGCGCGTCTGGGACCCACGGAGCGCGCCGCTCGCTTCTCCATCTAACCCTGACACTGCTCGGTGCACCCGGCGCTGCTCACTATTGTTTTACAGACCGGGAGACAGGCTCCAGGGGTG